GATTGAAAAGTTAAAGTCATCACGTTTTTCATATAGAGCTTGGTTGCTAGATCACCATCAATGTCTTTATCAAGTAAAATATCCGAGTAATAGAAGACTTCTGAAAGCCAGGACTCTGTAATTTCTTTTTACCTCTGATTTTTACCCGGAATGAGATTTAAAAAATCATACTGCATTAATTTTTTCCTGAAGACACCACAAACCACATCTCAAAGATGATGCAGGTACTGCGTAAAATGTATGCGGAATTTTGTAGACAGTTTCGTAGAAAATTAAAAGGAAGAAAAGAGATCTAAAAAAAAATCTGTAGATAATAAACAACTGTGAAAAGGTTACAAGCATGGACCCTGGATATTCCAGAGGTCGGATTAGGTGCCTAGGAAAGCTGACGATGGAAAAGTTGCAACAATCTCGTTGTTCATACATTTCAGTTGTTAGTTGATCCTTATCGTCAATCGTCAGTAGAACATCTACAAATGAAACAGATGTTGAGACTCTATGGTGTCTTTAATTTCAAGTTTACTTAGATATATCATATCAACATATGAAGAAAAGTAACTATTATTAATTGATTATATACATGGTCGATAGTCAAGTTGAAAGCCAAAGATGGGAAGGGCTTTTTTTTCTCTCATGTAGAAGTTTTTAATTAAATTCTTCTTCATACAATAGCTAATGAAGGAGCAAAAAAAATTATTTCAATCGACCTTTATGATAAAATGAAAACATAAATACATGCCCATCAAAGATTCAAAATAGAGGTACTTGAACTTAAATACATTCTCTTCAATGTTAGAAAGATCCCCTTATACAGAATGGAAAAGTTTAAATGATAAGTGCCTGTTTATTAATTACTAGTATATTTCAAACAATGACTTCGTTGAAACTACCAAAAATGTAAGAGGGGTGTTACAGACAGTCAGCTGCTTTTTCACACCCCCTCTTCCATGTATTGCACAGTAATCGATGTATTGATATTCATTGATTTGCAACATCAATTATTCTCAAACTATATACTATATACTAGTGTATAATTTACTTTTTCTACTTCCGTTCAAACACCTGCAGAGTTTGGTCAGATTTTCTAAATGTTCGCTGTTATTCATTGTTGCTTTGTTAGTGAATCACAAGGCGTCATAACAAGAAAATACCAGATTTCTGTAAACAGATTATCTGCTTGCCAGACGGAACTGGATATTCAACATGTTACCAGACAAAACTAAACATTTCAAAACAAACTTGATTAATTTTAAACCTCTATTTGCGGTTTTTAATTTTTGTTTTAGCTTAGATAATTATCATTAAATACATAACATTAATTTTTTGTCTATATATAATTTATTTAGAAGTGATTTAAAAATAACTGTAAAAGAGTTGTTTTTACACACGAGAAATACGTAATGTGCTTGATTAATATGCTCTCGACAATTTATATTATTTTACTTTCATAAATTTATCTGTTTTGTACTATTAAAAAATATATTAATCTAATATATTCTAGATTTTTTTATGCAATTTAGAAGACAAATTATGCATGTTTATTTTTCTATTACTATTGATGAGCTATTTAATAAAATTTATTTAGGATTTAAAAAATATTTGCATTTATTTTGTCTTTTTAAAATAAGAAAATCGTTTTATTGATATTTAAATTAAGAATTCAATGGCGAAAAACAAAAGAAAAAAGAACTTTTAGCTCGATCATTAAAACAGGAAGTATTCGAGTAATTACAATAAATATCTATTGTAACATGTAACTAGATACATTTAATGATAAAGCAGTTAAAATTGACGTACAGAATCCCTTAGTGAGACAGGAGTGGCACAAAATGTGCTTTGCAATAATTATTTAATTTTAAAGCTAGAGGCTTTTAAGAAAAAGTTTAAATATTTATTTTGCAAGTGTCCAAAAAAGAAGGGAACATTACTTCCCAGGTCAAGGTTTGTTTTCACAAGTTCATGTTGAATTCAATCTAGAGCTCTTGTCTTATACACCATGGCTGTTTCAATTCAAACCTATCTGAGAAACATGACCTTAAAGTACTTATGATATTTTATAGATTATAAGATCTGTGGGCATATCAGTAGCTTTATCATGTACAGTACAGTTAACTCTAAGGTAAAAAATAAAAAAATCTTAGATCAAATGTACCTGAACCAAGCTATAATGTACAACATACCGTACGGATTGCCCTGTATTGTAAAATTGCAGTACGTTTTCATTAAAATAAAAAAGAATTATATTGTAATATGCATGGGGGTTGGACTTTAGAATATTGCATATTAATTAATCACAGGCTGATGGTGGAGTGTTTGTAAGTGAAGTAAAGTAGCATCCAGTTGTAAATCTATAAGAAATGTTTTATTGTTGATGTTATTTCATTATCTTATTGTTTACTTGAATTATTGATGCAATACACATTGCACTTCGACATTGTATTAATGTAAACAAATGCTGTTTTTGTGTTACTAGACGATCTAGCGAGATATTGTTGAACAGACAGTAAGGGACAGTGATACTGAGATGTTGTATGTCAGTTTTTCATCATTATCTACCATATTACGACTGTAATTTACTTACTTATTTCAGCATTATCACATGTGTTGTAAATTGGGCGCCTGCCATCTTTCTTACGAAGAAATTAGTCATGTGACATAAACATTGTTGTTTTACAATTGATAAGATCGAAATAACACTGTCCGTGTCCTCAAATATTCATAATTGATACTTAAATGTTATTTTATTGCAGTATTGTCATTTAATTATGCTGTATTTGACGAAATGTTTTGGAACTTGAATGTGTAGCGTAATACTTATGTGTTTGCGTTATTGTTCGGTATTACTACGCCATGGATTGTGTGTGTCCGTTTTATTACAGATTGTTTGTTGAACTTGTTTTCTAATGTATATCGAATAGAATTTATAGCTCCCACTTTACATGTAGAAAGGACATTTTGAGCGATGTTATTTTCTTTGTATTACACAAAATGTATGTAAAGTAGTTCTGAGAGACTCCAGAAAGGACAGTTATTCATTGGTTGTTGTGATCACGTGACCATTTATGGAAGGTTATATATATGAGCAGCGAACGCCAGTTTCATCACGACGATCGTAACGATCAGATCATATTACGTCATCAACATCACTGACTGTAAATTACTAGTGACTTAGGTAAAAGAAAATAATGTAAACTAATACAAATTAAGTAGTGTATAATTTCTCCACCGCACGGACACCGCAATCCACTGTGTTTTATTAGGCCAGAGATGTTAAGCTAGGACTTTATATACTCATAGATGTACTGACTGTTTTGTTATATTTCATTGAACTTTGAAGTCTTTATTAAATGAAATATTTGAAACGAAAAATGGAACTTGGTTATGATTTACAAGGATGTGAAGTAAATTATCAAGGGTGTTTAAATACATGTGACGGGCTGAGGATGCCCCCCCCCTTTTTTTATATGTGGACGGATGTCATGAGTAGTCCTGATAAAAATATAATTTTATAATTTATTGAATTTACACGGGATGGAAACATTGTAAGCTGATTGGCATTTGACAGGGTGCTGAGGAAGCTTACAATATTTAAGAATTGCTTATTTTGATAAAATGTCAAGGACTTTGAACTGAAGTCCAAGAATGGAAAGTACATACGGAGAAAATAAATACCCCTGTAAATCTTGAGATAAAAGTATATGTGAATCACCTCCGATCCTTTAAAAATTATCATCTCAAGTTTTACTTACATCTAGTAAATCATCGCAGTATTATCTGGTGCTAAATAACTCCTGGCAAAACACTAAATCAAAATAGAAGATAAAAATTTAATTTAGTAAAACATAATCATTATTGCTTAACAAATAATAAATCATAGGATTTTTTAAGAAAAAAAAAAGAAAAAAAAGAATGAAGATGGTCAATCGCATGTGGTCTCACCAGGACCCTTATTCTTTGTTGACTGATTTCAAGTTGTTTATCAAATAACAGGATATCTTTCAAGGGGCTTAAAAATGTCCACTCCTTGTGCTGTATACAACAAGGGTTACACAAATAGATATTTTATACATGCATCTACATTAATACACATTTTGTAAAAGGTCTACATATACATATTTAGAACAATTTATATATATTCTGAAACATCTACATTATGGTACATTTTATAAATATCTACATAAATTCACATCTTATACAACATATTTTGTATATTTTGGAAAATATTAAGAAATATGAAAATTAAACAATTTTGAAGGCTATTTAGAACTTCATTAAGAATAAAACTTCGGATAAACGTATAAATACTTGTGGATAGATACTTCTGTAGGTAAAAAGGAACGATTTTAAAAATCAACACCTGTTTCAAAATTATTAGTACAATTTTTTGTGCCTTTATAATCAGCAGTTTATAAATGTTTTTCAAATAATTTTAATTGCATGAGAAAAAAAATGTAAAGATAAAATTATAATGATTAAATTATTTTCTGGTGAGGGTACTTTTCTAACATTAAAATCTAGTTTAGAAATATAAATTATACTTTTGAAAATGCTAAAGCGTGTTAGTTAGAAATAATTAGATTTATTATAGAGTTTCTAATTGATGCTAATTGTGAACTGTCGGGTTTATTGTCGGGTTTAATACTTGTTTTCTCTTTAGTGGACATGGCTTTTTTTTAACGTTTCTTCTCTTTTATAAGATTATTCTAAGGAATTTGATCATTGTTCCCGATTTAAGGTGAAGTCGAAATCCGATCAATCGGAATCACACAAAAGAGCGTCCATGAGTGAAGCACGAACGCGCAAACCTCCCGCCGTTATCCCCTCATAATTAAAATCACATTCAGGGACGTGCAAAATTAATCACGTGCTTTTAATCTCAAAGGAACCGTTCTTATGCTAAATGTTGGAACATCCATTTCCAGAATTTTCACGTTTGATCAGAAATAGGTCCCGCCCCTTGTCCACGAGTGATGGCATGTGTTTACCGGTGTGTGTCGGTGATCCGGTATATAACACAGTGGGGTACAGGGGGTAGTCAGTTCGTACTGTGGACCCGTCATCCTAAGGCTGTTACAGAAGAGAGAATTCAATGTTCGGCATTGCCCTCCAGTTTGTTCTGTACTTGTTTCTGCTGGATTTGGGAGGTTGGTTTATTTTTACTTTCACTGTACATGTGTATATATTATATTATGTCATTCTAATCTCAATTTATCATACACGTGGTCATATCACTTAACACTTATGTCGAATGCTGGTTCAGATAAAGTTATTTTTATATCTTTAAATTTTATTTAACGTTGTTTATATGAGATTAGAAAGAATATCTAAAAATTTAGCTAATAAAAATACTTTATTCAACTGAACTTTTAGTGACTTGTTTTGATAATTTCGTTCTAGCATACTTTTATCATATAACATTTTCCATCATATATCAAAACCAACTAAATTAAGTAAAAAGCTGAATTTTGAATTGAATGTGAAAAAAATCTTCATATATAATTTGATTCAATAATTATATTTTTGAACTCATTTTTAACTACATATCTTTAAAAACAGTAAATACAAGCATATACCGGTATATGCCGTCTACCAGTTTGTAACAATTTTATTTTACACTATATTCCAAATATGAGAGTATTTAGTATCTTGTTAAACTATTTCCATTCAGTAAAAGGTTAAATTCAGCAGAACATTTTAGGATTCCTATCTGCATTAAATCAAAATATCCTGCTGCAATGTGAAGAATTTAAGTTTTTTCGAAGTTGGAATTATATAAGTACTGAAACCTTAGATTTATTCTTGCTATAACTACGAGTAAGCTTCAAATTTTAAAAGGATAATAAAATCAGGTAATTGCTTTGTCTTAAAATTGATTGTTTTAAGCAGATTTTTTTTTTAATAAATTTTATAATGTTTTAATTTAATTATTTTGTCGAAACGATACATTCATGTGAACTTAAAATAAAGACACACCAGAATTTATCCTGTCTGTTTCATATGAAGAGATTTTAATGACTGTAGATGGCAAGGATCTACTAATAAACTACCTTGTTTGACTGTCATCATGACTTCAGCTTTTTCATCGTAAACTTTCCCTATATGTGTAGGAATAATTCACTATCACCTGCTTACTAGTATGATGTTTATATCTTTTATAACTTTTATATAACTTACAAATCATTTATAAAAAAAACATAACTTGAAATAAGCTTCATTCCTTATAATTTAATTTCAATGTAGACAATGATACAATTTTTCCATCGGAAAAAGGCTTCAAATATAGCATATTTTAATAGTTAACGGCAAGCGGAGTAATACGTTTTTGACGTAACTCATTGTGACGTAGGCAAGTTATGGTATACAAAATGGATAAAACTGTTTAACCAATCAAATGACGTGTTACAACTAATATTAAATAATTTTAAAACAAAACATGCTACTAACTTATAAGTTGATGTAACAAGGATTTTAACAATCTTGATCAAAGTCGGCATTTCGTACATTTTATGGCCAATATAATTATGATCTTGTTAGCAAATATGACCAAACATTTGGTCTTTGGTCATATTTTGGCTGACGTTGTTTCATACCATCTGAAAATCCTTTAATTCCATAGTGAATTGACTTCAAAATGTTTCGCCCACCTTATCAGTAAAGAGAGATCACAGCGACCGTGACTGATCAACAAGGGAACATTTGCTCCTCTCAGGCTCCCCATCACACTATTTCCAAGGGCCTATGTTTTATGCACTTTTTACGTGTTTGTATTGCTTATTAGATTATTTAAAGTCTATCTCTATTTGTTATTTGCGCTTTTACATAACATTTGGATACAGTACTATTGAAAGCCTCCTCCGTCGAGCGCTCACACCCTTCGTAAGCCCATAGTATCAATTAGATGGCCGAATATTTCGTAAAATAAAAAAAAAAAAACATTTTGATATAAAAAAGTTTTAAGATCAGTCAAAATATGATCGACCCAGTGGTTAGTTTTACTTGCTTAAAAGGTCATTATAATAATCAAAGACTTTTCATGAGATCGTTGAAATCTTTGTAACATCAAGTTATCCATCAGTAGTCTGTCCCATTTTAAACATTGATCACAAAGTCTACACTCGTAATATCATTCTGAGTATGGAACAAGATAAGGAGAGGCCTTATTTTGATGTATAAAGTTGCCAAAATTTGTAGATTTTCAAAATTCGACTGCTAAAATTACAATATAATTCAAAATAATAACATGATTGAAGCTAACACACAAAAATATTATTCAGGGATATATGCAAAGCAGGTGCAATTTGGCGACACTTCAAACTGTCCGTCAGTGTGGCTGCCCGTCAACGGACAACGCCAGGACAACGTACTGTATAAGACCAAACCTATGTTTGTATTGGACGACAGAAGTGTCAAAGAGGGTTATCTTCCCGGAAAGTCATACTCACGTAAGTTCTGATCTGTTGCAACTCTTTGTAACTGAAACAAATAAAAAGAATTAGGAAATTAAGAAAATATGATTGTACTGTGAGATTTAGGGCGAAACTATTTTGCGAATGGTGTTTTGCATCATTTTGGACTCATTGTTCGCACACTAAATGTCTCAGTTATAGTAGCTTAGATAGATTTGGTTGAATCGGACACCTTGGCTTAAATTTGAAAACAAGCATTGTGTACCGAGACAACCACAAAATAAAACTTGTCAGCCAGCCCTGTCCATTTCTACAGTTCACGTGAATGCCCAGGACAGCGATAGGAAGTTCTCGGACGTTTTGGTCTGGGCAGAAGGAAGTGGGCTACAAGGTTGTAGCACAGGCAGTTTTGATACAAACCCAACCTACTACCATCAACCGGAAAACTGCTCTCATTTGGTTAGCCGGAACTCCAAGTTACCAGGGCACACGTTCCTTTTCACCTGGACAGCACCACTGTGTGGTTGCATTACCATTAGGTGAAGTTTCAATCTAAAAAAATAAAGTGATTCCTTGAAATGCTTAGAGTGGTTGATATTGCATTGATAGGTGTATATACATGTACTGTATATGAATTTGCATCTATTCATACGCTTTTTATTGTTTTGCAATGCAATGTCTGAATTTTAGGACAATAAATCAGAATAAATAGTTCAAGTGATTGAAACCAGCCGTATTCTTTTACCTCTAGGGCACGAGTGTCCATAGCTGATACTGGTTCGTTTGTTCTGGATGACAAATCTACAAAGGATGGGTATCTGACGTCACAAATTTGTCCCAAGGATGTCCATCCAATGTTGTCAACTGTAAGCATCTGTGTATTTCAAAAGAGAGATATAGATTATAATGAATTAAATTCAAAACAGTTCATTTCAGATAGACAGGTCCTAATATAATCCCTTTGGGGTTATAATTTAATACTGACAAATCCATCCTGTTTTCTTGTAGCTCTCTCTAAGGGAGAAGGAAGACCTTTTGTGTCGAGTAGTCAGTGACATCACTGGGTCTGACATAGCAACCAGGAAAGATGTTCTGAAAAGGCGTAAAATGGAATACAACGCCATGTCCCAACTCCAGAAAGAGGCTTGGGAAATTGCCCTTGGCCAAAGAGTTTACAACACGAAGAAGTGCTGTGGTCTGGTGTGTACCGAAAATCAAAAACAATGACAAACTGAAATATTAAAGTTTAAATGATAAAATAGCAAAGAAAGACCAATCCTAGAGTAATAAAATCCAGTGATGTACATGATATTTTTCTAAAAGCTTAAAAGCTATTAATATTCATTAATGACTGTTTCGTTATAAGACAGGGATGAACCATAAAAAGGTAAAATGCCAAACAAATTCTTTGAAAGCAATGATTGTTTATGAGGTTTTGATCTCTTTCTTGCAGACTGGAAGTGAGAGAAGCGAGTGTCTGGGAGATGACCGGCGACATCGCGTGGACAGGTTCTGTGCCTACGGAGAATCCGTCATTCCATTCACCATTAAGAGGCGTGCCTTTATGGACAAACGACGGGAAGAATGCTGCTGGAAACTAGGTAATGCCATGTGCTTTCATGAAAGACTGTGTACATTTATTAACAAAATCAATTTACATTTCTTAAGATCAAAAATTGGTCTAGTAGATTTTTAGCCCCATTTCGTTATAATACATGTAGATATTTAACTACTCATGAAATAAGGGAAACTTACGTTTTAATCATTTAATACACAGGTGAACGTCGCTACCATTGTTTTGCGTATGTGCCTACTCAGCAAGCCAACAATCCCAACAGTCTCTGGAATGTGAAACACGTCCAAGAAATGGACGAGTCGGATCCAATAAACGACCTGGAGGACTATGCACCAGAAGTCCTGAAAGAGGTATGTAAATCAGACTAAGAGAAAAATAAATACTTAAAATAATTTATTCATGAAGATAAAATTCACGATTGGGGCGTGTCTCTTTAGAATCATTGATGATAACCAATCTAATTAGATTGTGATGATAACTTGAAAAAAAAATTTGCCATGTATCTGATGAAACATGTCGTTACGTTTAATTGCTTTCATTTGCAGCTATCAAAACTACCTGCCTTCATGAACGCATATGCTGATAGTGCAACCTTAGAAGTAAATCTCAGTACAGAGGAACAACATCAAAAAGACCTGAAGGTTTCCAAGGAGACCAAACCTGTATCCTCTAAAGAAACAACCAACCTGTTAACAACAACTGCAACAACTAAGGCACGTGTTGTCCAGACAACTACTGAGTCGCCAACGACTGTCTTCGTGACAACTACAGACATGGAAGAAAGCAAGAAAACAACAGACACAAGTAAAGGTAAAGTGACCTTATTTTACGCATTTTGTATCATCACGACTTAGTAGAAAATTTGCCATGATTTAGAAGTTAGTAGCATTAGTTTTATTAACATTTCTTAACGTTCTGTCCTACGTTCTACCCTTCAAAATACTTTATCATTTATTCTGCATCTGATTAAAACTGTTGGGAGTCCCTTCATCACTTCTGGGTTTTGAACTGCCAACTATTTTCACATTATATAATCTATCATGAAAGCAAAGATCTTAATTTGATGACATACTTTTAGTATTCTGTACAATCACATATTTTCATGTGTGTTAATTTTCGATGTTTTCGAGGTTTAAACAGACACAAAAAATGGAGTCCACCATAAAATATATTACGCCAAATTATTACGACTCAACAATTCTTAACCCTTCAAAGCAAATCCTCAGATCACACATTATTATTTTTTCTCAAACCCCACAAAATACATGTACATGTATGTGATTTTACAGTTATACATGTATTATTCGAAAGAGTTGATTTATGAGATTTAAACTTAATTGACATAGCTTACCTTTTGTAGATTTGCAAAGGAAGATGAGAAAACTAAAGCTTCGTCTTGATTGCTGTGAGTCTGGACGTCAAACAGCGGAGGATGTGGAGGAGGATCCTTGGGGGAAATGTACCACTGCCTCCTATAAATACACCAGAAAAATGAGGGGCGGAAGGCGCATGTGCCGAACCTACTTCCTGAAATGCTGCATCGAGGAATCCCAAAGGTGAGGGACCTCATTAGACCACTGAAGATTGTTTGTTTCTAATTAATAGTTGTGGCGTATGTGTTTCTTTTTTAATTTAATGTCACTTTTTGTGTTGTCCTGTCCATGTGTTCCTATATTTCTTCTTTTTATCAAATTTCAGTGGATCCTTTGGAATAATGCTTCTTGAGATGAAGAATTTAAAACGAACTCTAGATATTTTAAACTTGAAAATGCGTCAGAATTCTAAATCAGCTAAACTGAGATCGAAACAAAAAGTAAAATATTTGATTCAGAAGGCACAAACATCGATAAAAGTAATGCTGAAGATTTTAACAAATAATGCCAAAGACAACAATATGAACAATATGCCAGAATCAAAGTTATGGAATTTTGATATTTCAAATGAAGTTCCTGAAATGTTAAACCAAGTGAAAATGCGTTCTCCCAATGATTTTGAATCTTTCAACCAAATTGTTTTGCGTCTTCATCAAAAACACTAACCAAGACAATGACAGCTGTATGTGGTATGTGTATATAATCATATACATACATGTATGACTGTGATTTTGTAAAACATATAACTTTATACTCACCCTGATGTTGTTACCAAATCTAAGTTTGATATTTTTAGTGAGGAAGAAAATTCCGGCCATCAAGATGACGACGATGAAGACGATGATATTGACGATGAGGATACTTCAATGGTGAATTCTGAAGAAAGTGGCGATTACAGCGACGCCGGTGATGGCAGCAACGAGGATAACGATGATTCTGATTTTAAGACAACTAAATCTGTGAGTCGAATAAATCGGCGAAAATTAAATCGAAGAAAGAATAGCCTCAGGGGAAGACGACGAGGGCGAAAACGAAGCTCCATAAAACGCAAGAGAGGCTGAAAACCACGTGACCATAAATTCTCACTGCCTTTGTTTAGAACATTGTACCTGTAGTCATTTCATAGAATAGGTAGTTCTACCTCTAAAGGAATAGTCTTGTCCATGTATGAACATTTAAAGGAATAGCTTTGTCTGACCTTTGTAGTTGTACGTACTTCTAAAGGGATAGATGTGTCTGATTTTGTAGTTTGTGTGTGAAATGTGTTGTAGGTCTAACCTTGCAGTTGTGAACTGTATTTTATTTCTGGTCGCCTCTTAGCATCTTGTTTCGTGCCATTTATGCGAAGACAGTGCTGTTTATGTTCAGTTAATGAGATTTTTTTTTACCTGAAAGACGCTTTTTTAAAAATATTTTTTGTTGTACTTTTCATAGGTGCTAGAGGATGTGGCATATACGTTTTGTGTTATTCTCTGTGAGAATTTGATGAGCATGATAATTGTTTTACAATATTATTTGTAGTTTTTTAATGCATTTTCAAATAAATCATTTTACAATGAATATATGCCTTAAATTATTTCTATCGAGTTTTAAATTGAATTCAAAATTTAAAAAATGATGGATAACTTTGACATACATATAAAATATAAACTAAAGAGAAATCAACAAAATCTAAGATCCTCAATCTGTTTTTTAAATAAAATTATTCATACTTTCGTGTTTCGTAGTCAAATGACTTTGTTGTACATTTGGATATTCTCTTCGAAGAAAGTTCTTGTTTGACCAGCTTGAGTTTAATTTGCTTGAAAATTTGCAATTTTATATAATATGTTAAAACATGTTTGAAGTATAATATATGATTTTTTTGGGCAAAAGTTTCATTTGTTTGAAGTATTTCAAAGTATATTCTTAATTCATCATGGTCATGGGGCAAGGTCTCATCTACTTCCTTACGTATATATTTAAAAAGTAATTTTAAATAAGTAGCTTTTGATATTAATGATACACTTTTTAAACTCTCGCTGTAAAAAGCCGCCGTAAACATACTCCTAGAAAACGTAAAGTTTGGTTATGACATGTTTGAGTAGGACTGTGGTTGAAATCTCCATTCAGTAAAACGGTGAAAAGAATAGCTTTCTATCCTTCAATTAGTGCATTTGGACGTATAAATATCAGAATATTTTAAGGCCTGCGATACCTTTTCTAAACGCTTTCAGAGATAATATTCCTTATATTGTAAAGTTGATTTTTTATTGCCTTCGCCAGTTACAGAGCAAAGGTGTAATGTGTCATATGTGTTTTGTCAATTCTACATGAGGATTTTAATAACTAACATCATCGGAAATTTAAATGCTAAAAAATCTTTTATTATATATTTTCAAATGCAAGTAAATCACTTTGCATTTATTGTATTGTTAACTAATATCTAATCTTATTTCAACAACTATTTCAGTAAAAAAAACTAACTTCGTTTAAAGTCATCATTTTGCGAATTTTATGGCCGATGTTATGGCCTTGTTTAAAAAATGCAATAAACTAGTATAGCATCTTTAAGTTGTATTTTAATCAATGTATGAAACATATGAATTTAACAAACAGTATTCAAGATAAAAAATCCATTTAAAAAATCCAAAATAGGAGCAGATTAAATACGGACATTTCAAACACCAGAGATTGTATCAGGTGCCATGGAGGAGTGAGTATCCCCTGCCGACCGGTCACACCCGCCGTGTGCTCCTTGTCATGACCGTGAAATAACGGAAATACCGTCGTCAATTCAGTGTATGAATAAAGGACTAACAATTCTTATGAAAAACGTCGGTCAGCATTTGTCTCGATGATAAATTGTTTTTGCTGACAAGGTCATTGTATGTACCATAGAAGTTACGAAATGATTACTTTAAACGAGACTGCTGATATTCTTGTTTCAACAACTTGTTTTTTTCAAATAATTTACCTCGGTTTAGAAATTGTTCATACGTAGAATATGCTCTTGCGTATCGAATCAACTGAGATATATAAACTTCGTAAAAGGTGATGAAGGTATATTGCTGGATTAGTATGGGGAGTTGACGATTGAAAAGGTAAGGTCATCACGTTTATCATAAAGCTTGTTGTTAGATTACCGTTAACGTATTTTTCAAGTAAAATATCCAAATATGAAACAGATGTGTCGGAGTCTTTTATCTCAAGCTCACCAGGATATATTGTATCCAGATCAGAATGGAAATTGCCATTGTTAATTGACAATACGTCGTCTATATATCTGTATGTGGAGTTGAGGGCCACAACAAGTGTTTTCTTCTAATATCACTCATGATACTGGACAAAATTCTACTTCATATGAAAACAAAAATAGGTCAGTTAATAACGGGGCGCAATTGGTACCAATGGGAATTCAAATATATTGTTGGAAGATCTTGTCTCCAATTGTAAGGCTTTTTGTTTTATACTATAATCAGTACACAACACTCACAGGGGGCGCTACAAGTCGATAGAGAATGCTACCTCCCCTTGAGCATCTGATCCCACCTCAGGACTTTCCAGGAATATGTTTTAAGTCCTGTTTAGAGATTTACATTCTTTTTTCAGAGCACTTTTCATTTTCTTCATCTATTTTAAATTGAATTACATATATACTTTGACATAACAACATTAATCTTTAGTTTGATTGGTTTGATAGCATTCAACAGTCTGATATTCCTAGGCTTATTTTTCTCAATAAAATCATTCACGGTTTTGGTGATTTATAAGAGCAAATTAATTTGAAGTTGAAATATGTTAATCTCTATTCCTTGTAATTTCCTTTTTAAAAAAGTCCCTACGTGCAATTTGTCCAGCGTTGGAAATTATCTAATCCAAAACAGAGAGCAAAGATTTATATTTAAAGGATTCTTAATTATATACAAAGTAATGAATGAGTAAATATTGTCGAAAATAAACTTCCTATAAGCTTTCCACTGTGCTGTAGTCTTAGATAATAGGATGACGTTTCAAAAATGATAAATTGTCATTCGGATGTCAAATCGATTTATTTAAGAAATGAATTTCATTTTTGAAGATTCATGAGGTTATGAACTACGACGCTTCACGCCGGCATATTTCATGAAGCGCGTTAGCGCTTCATGATAAATATGCCGGCGTGAAGCGTTGTAGTTCATATACCTCATGAATCTTTAAAAAATTAAAGTCATTTCTTATATTTACATTATTTTCCTGATAACTTGCCATAAATTTACGCCGTTCAACTGTCATTTTTAAAACAAAACAGTGTGCACTATATTTTTTGACTTTTTGACGTCAAGAGCGGTATTATGACGTAACAATGCAGATATTCCTGCTTATTCGTGATACATGATATACGAGGGCTGTTCGAAAATTATTGAGACAATTTCATTTACTGCATAAAGGACGGAACGGAGATACTTTCATGAAAATTCATCAACATTTTATATATAAAACTCTTATGCAAAATTTCTTATTCCTATGATAATAAGAAAAGTTTCGGTGAAATGATAAACATGCATATGTCTATCGACCCGGAGCAGCATCGCTACGTCATTTAACGTCACGTCAGCCTGAGATGGTTTCACACGTAAAACGATCAGGAAGCATGTATACTTTTCCTTCTTTGTAATTACATATAACAGTACAAAAATCAAACAGTCTCTTTTCTTAAACTTCCTTAAAAATGTATGCTGTTGCTACCTGAGTGTAAAATTTTCATTTGTGGAAAAAGATGACTTAAAACCATGCAGTTCTGATTTGTGCAATGCATGTCAACGATATTAATACCGTAACTACGTTAATACCGTACGTAGTAACTGATGGTCGTCCGGAGCTTTTGATTTTACTCTGGTTGACTTTAAAAAAAATGTATACCAATAAAATAACAAACCCTAACACATTTTTCCTCGTTGTTATTGTTTTAGCAGGTCGTTGAGTCTGCAAAAGAGTTCTAGATTGCGCTACACAAAGTTTTAGGTATGTTCGCTGCTCCGCCATTGACATCAAAATCCATTTTTTCGTTCTAAGCAGATTTCTCTACCGCGCTTAAATTTTTTATGATCTTCGTATTCCTGATCAATATTCTAACAAATTTGCACAACATGAATTTGAATGACAGCTGAAAAATTATAACATAAACAGAATTATTTTTTGCTCTTATTATGGGTCCACGAAGAGTTAGAACGTTGGTGTTACATATTTTCAATATCTGATTTTGAGACTGCTCCGGGTATCCCTACTGATGACGCATTTATATACCATTGTACAGAAAATATTTAATGTTTGTAAAATATTTTTTGCTGATATCAATTTTTAGTGTATGTCAAACGCATATGCAAATTTTCACCGAAAGACGTTCATTAGAAAGCAAAATATACACAGTGTCTCAATAATTTTCTCGTATATATACTGCATTTTATTTTGTAAAGAATCATAGGGGAAATTTATTGAAAATGTAAATATATATATACCTTTGAACATGAGATTTAAAAAAAACGACATCGGGGATACAACATGTACAATGACCTTTTTAGCAATTTAATACAATTTATCGTTCAGTCTAGTGTTAACTTTTTTTTTTCAAAGAAAATTGTTAGGCCAATATTTTCATTCTGAATTGTCTACAAGTTTTCCTTTTACCTCGTCATTATAGAAGGAGCACACGGCGAGTGTGACCGGTCGGGAGGGGATGCTTATGCCTCCATGGAAACTGATCTCATCTCTGATGTTTTAGACTGTTCTCAATTAGTACTGTTCTAAATGACTTTTGAGCTTGATTACTGTTCTTTATCACAGAAACTTTTATTTTCATGAGGAATTAATACAATGTAATACTTTCTGAGAAATCTGTGACAAGTGCCTAATCTTTCAATATTACGAATAACGACTACAGAGTATCCCATACTGACAATGTAACATTGTTTGCTATGTGCTAGAAATACATGTAGTTGTTATGGATGAAATGAGTTTAAAAATACTTTCGAAAAACAAACATTTCAACATCATTTATTTTTCTTCATGACATGATTTAGATAAAGATTTACAGGTAACATGAATAAAGGTCAAACTTTCTTTGTGTTGTTGCTAGGGGAGTGGTGTTGTTGCTATGGAAATAAGTCATCGAACAATATTCAATAACTTGATACAATATTTTAAAGTCTTTCCGAACTATCAACATGCAATTATCAGCATATTACTTAAATATCCAATTCCATGACAAACAATACAATCTCAAAGTCAAATCTGTTTTACAGGAGACATAGGAACTTTGGTTGTCATGTACACAGAACCCTTGACATTTGGGTTGATTAAGTACCAAAAAACAAGATGTGTTTGTGAAACACTATGCGCCCGGCGGCAACAAAGTTCGGAAAAAGCTATTTTTAGCATTAAGATCACAGTCAAGGTCACAAGGTCATTGACCTTGGTGTCACCTGAAAGAACATAATTAGTGGAGTTTGCATACCAAATATGAAGTATCTATCTTTCATAGTTCGAAAGTTATGGCGAAGGTTAAAGTTTGCAGAAAAAAGCTATTTTTAGCATATAGGCCA